TTCACTGTCTTCAATTTTAAAAAGATGGTATGAAGCAATAGTGGAGCAATTTTAATTGTAACTATGTAACACTTGCAATCAGTAAGATCATTTGTGTTCTGTTTTTAGGAATCGGGGTACTAAAGAGTACATAGAGCATTAGAAATGCAAAACATGACCGCATGTTCTCAGGATTTTGTCAGTGTTACATGAAAGAGCGTTTGTGCTGGGATGCTCAACTCTGAGGGTATTCTCTGTTTAGTGTGTATTTACAGAGATGTATGAATATTTGATTAATGAGTCATGGTCTCTGGAGAAATTTAATAACTCTACTGCTGTACAAAGCCAGCTCCTTAACTGTTAACACAGCTGCCAATAGTGTCATTGACACTGAAGCCCTTTCTGCATCTAATATATTCTGTGGAGTAAATTCCTTCGTTACAAGGGGATCTGTGGGACACATTATTCAGTTATCTGTTTTGAACTGTTACAGGCTCAATTTACAGATCTTGATTTGTAAAGATTTTTCCAGTGGAAACAAGCAGTGACACATGAGCTGTAAAACAGCAGTTTCATGCGGTTATGTTTTTACAAAAGTTAGTTGGAAGGTCAGATTTACAAAGTGGTGTTTTAAAAACTTCTCTATAATAAGATCTGGGTTCAAAGTTTTATTATCTACAACATTAATACAAAGCCTGTATACTATAAAAGTATGTGTAACAAAAGAATGAACTATAAAGGTGGAAGTTGGTGGTGATGTGTGTATAATTATCTGTATGTGTACAATCCAAAAAAATAAAAACTGTATTTAGCAATACTTAAAAAATAAAAGGAACTTGTGACTGGAGACTCTTTCTTCTAATCCTTACTCACCTGAGGGATGACTCTGGTGAGAGGAGACTATTTTTGATGTCATTTTTAGTGTGAGGTGCCAGTTGCCTCTTTTTTTTTTTTTTTTTTTTTGGTCAGGGCAAATTCATTATTAAATTTTTTGAGCACTTTTCCAGACATAATTCACTCTAATTTTACCATTTTCTCCATTTTTATTTCTAATATCTGTGAAGAGATCAGTTCTCACTTACAAAGTTACGTGGATATTTTAGTGGTGTTACTTCAGTTAAACTACTTTAAATAATAGGGGAAAATGTCAAAAAAAGATAAATTTAGTGTTGAGGCTTTCACTGGAAGCTTTAACTGCAGGTTAGAATTATACGTGCTATGCAGAATTTCCTGCAACACTTCTCCTTAGGGCCACAATGCATTACAGCAGACGTATAATGAAGCTGCTATAAAATCTCTGGTAATTAAGGGGGATTTGACAGTAATTGCAACAGTGAATCAACTTAATTATTACCTGCTTCAAAGAGAGCTAACCTGATGTTATAATCTAACCTTTTCTACTTTTAAAATGAGAGATTAAGCAAGTATATGTAGCATTTAAGAATTAAATCTGTTGAGATAGAATTCTATTAATATACTTTATTATATTATATATACTATATTATATAGTGTTTGTGTATATAAAGTTCTCCTTTAGCTGCTGTGTACATATATTAATAAAAATCAGCTAAAGGAGAACTGTCATCCAATGAATTATAAACACACTATATTCATGTAATAAACAGATTTAGCCCATGTCTCTGATGCAATCCTCTTCTCTTTGACTGTTGACAGAATAGGGACCTATATACATGTTACAAAATGCTACAACCCATGCACGTCTGGTTCCTCGAAGAGCCTTGTAAAGGAGACACGATCAAGGTATTGAATTTACGGTCTGAATTTTAAGCAAACTATGCTGAAATATATTTCAGATACCAAAAGCAAGGGGAGACTGGCTTGAAGATGTCACAGTACTTTTTACACTCCTGCTGTGGCAATACTGTGAGATGCGATGTAGCTTTTACAAATAATCTGTAGTATTGAAATGCAAGTGTGCACAGAATAGTTAAGACTTTCCTTTGGTGAAAAAATTGGTTGATCTTTTTGGTGATGTGTAATCTGGCTGCATTTTGGAAGGAAGACTGTTGTCAGAGGAACATATTTTAACTTCCTCTTTGATAGTTTATCCCGTTCCAGTATAATGACACGGTCAGCAAACAACAAAGTAATTGTTGTTTGTAAGCCCCTTGAGGCTGGAACCTGTCTGCTCAATAGCCCAAAGAGTTCTAATCTCCTTACCTTCATAAGCTTTTCACATAAACATCAAGGGAAAAGTAGACCCTATACAGGCAGTATGAGCTCCCTGTTGGTCATATATTGTAACTTTTGGGAAGATAAGTTCAAATCCTGGCTGGGTCAACTCAGATTTCCACCTTTCAAAGGAAATACTGAGTTTCATGTAGTTAACCAAGAGTGGGTATTTAACAGACAAAAAATGGAGGCCTCTTCTGCATAGATTTTAAAGATCTTGCAGTATCTCACATAAGACAAGAGGGTATTAACTTAGTTTTTACTCCCTGCCTCTCTTGCAGGGTGCTGGTGCCATAGCATCTTACCACTACTTGTTTGTTTTGCCACTGTAGCCCTCAGTTTTCAGTAGTTTGATAGCTTGACCATTTCAAATGGCCAACAGCTGACAACTTTCTGAACCCCGTTAGCAGTTCCAAGGTTTATGTAAAAATGCCAGTTTGTCATGCACATACAAGGAACTTAATGTAACTGCATGACACTAAAAGAGGAAGTGTGTGATATTGCTGTTCTGAAACAACCATTCTCTGGGACCTGTGATATTAGCAGAATGCAGTAGTTAAATCTGTGTCCTTCAAATAAGACTTAAAATACTATCATGCATTTAATTGTGTTGTACAATAGAAGTAACTGCAACAGCTTGTTTGATGCTACATCTACGCTACAGTCTGGATCAACACTCTGAGATTGATCCACTGCCGGTTCATTTAGTGGGTCTAGTGAAGACTTGCCAAAACATCCAATCTCCCGTTGACCCTGTTACTCTATCCCAGGTGAAAAGAGGAAGAGAAGTCGACAGGTGAGGTTCTCACGTCGACCACCTGCAGTGTAGATCCCCCAGTAACTTGACTTACGGTGTGTCGACTCCAGCTACGTTATTCACATGGCTGGAGTTTTGTAGCTTAAAACTTAAGACTTTCTGCTGTAGTGTAAATGTTACCTCAGTTTCAGAGTTCTAGTGCTATTGCTGCTTAATAACTGGCAATTAAAAAAACTATACTAGTCTATGCTTTCTGTTTAATAAAGGAATAACGCCTTAACCTTTGCTCTGGCAGTCTGTAGTCACCATGGCTACAAAACTACTAGGGCCTGCAGGTTACAGATAAGGTCCTGTGGCAAAATAGTAACAGTAGCATAGCCTAAGCTGTGAAAGCTCCTTTCGCTAGGGAGAACTGAGCCACAATCCCTGTGGTGTCTGATATTCATAGCTGGCCCTGAAGCTTCCTTCTCATGGGATTGGGTAATTCCCAGCCTGGAAATCCCTTTCCCATGCCTAGTATCAGAGGGGTAGCCGTGTTAGTCTGAATCTGCAGAAGCAGCGAGGAGTCCTGTGGCACCTTATAGACTAACCAAAGTGTTGGAGCATAAGCTTTCGTGGGCAAAAACACACTTCGTCAGATGCATGCCAAAACATCCATCTGATGAAGTGGGTCTTTGCCCACAAAAGCTTATGCTCCAACACTTTGGTTAGTCTATAAGGTGCCACAGGACTCCTTGCTACTTTTCCCATGCCTGTCAATCAGCAAAGAGTACAGGAACCTGATCAAGCTCCCACACGCCCTGTAAGGGCTATTATGCTGTGCCATAATATGCTCCAAGAACCATCTGATGCACCACCTAGCCAAGTGGCCTTGTTTATTTTATTTATATAAAATCTTGGTATCCCCCATCAAGTGGCAGGGGCACCTCATGGCATTAAAAAAGTTCACGGGTGGCTCTGTGGCACAGTGCTGGTGCTTATTAATTGCCATCATCTGCCACAGATTGCAGTTCAATGCCTGATTAAACCATGGGGCCTTTCGCTCTGCCCTAAAAGGCATCGCTTTCCAGGCTCTGGGAGATCATTGGAAGAAGAGTATTCGAAACATGAAGATACCTTGCTGAGAGACCTAGAAAGGATTATCACAGAAATGGACCTTATATGTGCCCCAGTCTTTAACAATGTGCAAAAAGGGGCGATGTCTTCAGATACAAGGGTTCCAAACTGCCCAAGAGATTCAGAAGAAATCTCAATTACCATAGCCTTTCCAAATTGTAGTCATAATATAGGTAGGAACCTATATTCAGCAGTCATAACTACTGTAAAATTCACCCTAGCCTGTAACTTGGTAGCAGGCACTGGAAACTTTAGAACATTTCCTAGAATTTGCTTGTGCAACGCAAAAGCTAAATATGTGATAAGATGCTTTTGGTCTCTTCAGGAGCATCAGTGGCTTGCTGCTCATAGATTCATGGGGGGAATTGGCAGACTTTTTACATAACAAATTTTCATGGGTGCCTTTTGCTATTTTTACAATGCATTTTAACATAAATGAGAGATTAACATAGGAAAAAGTACTTCAGGAGCCTGCTCAGTAACTATTTTTTTCATAACGTTTTAATGGATTCAGGGTTGAGCGCTACTAAAATATGGATTTATTAGAAATGCTCTATGCATTTCAATGGCCTTTTTTCTCATGAATCTGGATATTTTACATTATTTCAGTAGAGCTGACCACCCTCTGATTCATTAGAAAGGCTCCAATATAACCAATGGACCATATCTAATGATTCTGGTTTTACAGCAAATCCAAGGGTCAGCTGTACTGAAAACAATGGTGCTAACCCCTAGGTTTATTAGCAAAATGCTTCAGTGTCTCAATGGAGCATTTCTAATCGATCGGATAAATAGGAATCCTGTACCGATCCCCATCCCCCAAAAAACCTTCTTTCACCCTTCCTGGGTGAAATAGATGCATGGATTTGTTGTTATTGGGACCTTTAAAAATATCGTGGGTGCAATAGGACTTTGTTATTCTTTCCAGTGAAATTCCCTCTCTTCTGTATACTGTGCTCTGTGAGGTAGAGAAGTGAGTATTCTTCATTGCTTGGAAGAGGAAACCAAAGCACAGAGAAGTTATGTGAGTTACTCTGATTAGAACTTGTGAGTTCTTGGTTTTGTAATCAAGCAAATGGTTGGAGCACACTCCTCTCTCTGCCCTAGTGCCCTCTTTCCTGGACATTGCAGTAGGAAAAGCAGCCCAGCAGCAAGCATCACCAATGGCCATTCCTTCAGCAAGTTCATCCCAGTTCAGCTTTTAGCTATTGCTATATATCAGACCCTTAGGGAGCTGCATGTCTTTCACCTCTTCCCCAAATGGCCTATGTCCATTGAAAAACTCTATTGAAATTCATGAAGTGTCCATCATGTTCAACCAATGGAAAGATGTGAGGGCACCTCTCTTCACTGGGATGTGCAGTAGACTTATTCCCCTGAAGTATGGCCCCACCTTTGTATGGCGATTTGGGGTGATAATTGTAGCTGTATGGGCTGGAGAGGGGGAGATCCCAACCCCCTCTTTTTGGGTCGCCTCATGACCATCCTCTCTGGACTATTGTTCCCCTGTATTCCTGATAGTCCGTATCTGAGGATGGAGAACTCCAATACCCCATCATAATGTGTACACTTTCTCTCTCAAAGCTTGATTAGGTGGGATTTGAGTGAAAGAACACACATCATTTTCTCCTCTCTCATCTTCCCAAACAGCATTCTTTCCTGGGAAGTTGAGATTCTGATATCATGTGACTCCAGGAGCAGGTGCCCTAGTCATGGGCCTAGAAAGCCTATATATTAATCCAGCCATTAAGGCAAAATTGTATGGCTATGTCTACACTGTGCCCGTTTTGCCCAAAAAATATGCAAATGAGGCTCTGCTTTTGCGGAAAAAATGCAGAAGAACGGCTCTTGCGGAAGAGGGGGTTTTGCGCAAAAAGGAGCCATGTAGATGACTCCTTTTTGTGCAAAAGCCTCTTGCACAAACACACCTTGTTGTGTAGACATACCCTCGATGCGGTAAGACATCTTATCTGCCTATGGTTACTGAGATGGTTACTGAGATGAATGAGAGCATCCTTGATTTCCTTGTTCCATGGCACTTTTGTTCTCACAACAGAAGTTTATGCTTCCAGTTAAGTTATCCTTTAACTGGTAAGGCCTTTACAGAAAAATGTAGATTCTGGTGGGAATCCATTTGGTCTGGGGGATTATAGCAAAGATGGTAATGTGATTTCAAGTCTTTTCCTGCCCTAGAGGCATTTGCAAAATCACCAACAGGCAACCTCCCCCTACCCACTCAAATGAGATACGGCAGTTTATCATGTCAAACCTCACTGTTGAGTGCTGTGTCTAGGGCCTCTGGCTGTCAGAGGCAGGATTTCATCTTGGGGTCCCTAAGGCAGAATAGAAAGCCTCAAATGTTCATTTATGTTGCTTATTGCCTGGCCAAACCTGTGTGTGCTTAATAAAGTTTTAAAAGCTGGCCCATGCATTAACAGGATGCAGAAAAATACTCAAGTTAAAATATTAAATAATTTTTTTTCAACAAAAATGCATTTCACTTGCCTTTGCAGTAGGTACCTATATGAAAGCTTCCTTCAGGAGTATTAGTTATTGAAATGAATGTCTCTTATGGAAACTTTGGAAGCAGTCCAATTTGAGATAAATATTAAAATATTATTTAACAGATCTAGTTCATAGGCAACTACATAGAGGTGTGTGTGTGTCTAATAAAATGTGTGTGTGCATATATATACACACACACACATACACTATAAAGTGTATAAAGTTTGTTTGTATATATGTATATTCAAGTTATATCTGTAAGTATTTATATGTGTATATATAAAATAACCACACACATACATACATAGCTATATATCCATGTTCCAAATGTGTGTATATTTGAGTTGTATATGTTTTTTATTTCTTGTAGATTTAGAAGAATTAAATCTTTATTTGTTAAACACTGGAGAACATCAATTTCACCATATATATACACAGCAACAGAAAAAAAATTACATCAATTTACAGCTAAGCAAAGTAAGAAAAATGCTGCTTGAAAACTTAACAGAGTTTGATTTAAGGATATTAACTTTATGTACATCATATGCCAAAATATACAATTAGTGTTTTAATAGCTTTAAAGCTTTAACTTTTTGAATTTCAGCGTCTAATGTTATTAAATAATTGTCTGACCTCTCTGTCTGGCTCCCCTCCATGATTTCCCACTTTGAAAATTTAGATTTTTAAAAATAGGAAAAAACGCTTAAGAGCCATAATTCTGTGCTACCATGCAAATTTCAATAGATAATTAAAAAAAAACCCTTAAAAATAAACATTGATATTATCCTATCCAAATTATAAAACCATAAACATTGAATTCTGCCCAGCCTATATCTAAACACATAAACATATTATTACATATATCTTTATATACAAAGTACATTTGAGATATATTTGTGTGCATGTCATATACAGTGAATCTGTAAAATATTACTGTTGTGTGTGTACGTATGTGTATGGTGTATGAAAATTTATGTGTAAAGTATTTGTGCAACCATAATTTAATCCTTTCTTCAAAATTTATTTCAGCTCATCATAAGAGCTCTTTGAAACAGTGTTAATTGTTTCAGAACCAACATCACTGATGATAACTCTTTTAGGAATTGTCATGTTGTCTATAAATATTTAGCAACTGGATTGCATTTGCCAGTGTAACCCTGTATTACAGATGAAGAGGTAGCATCTGCTGAAATTAAAATTGGCCACATTTTCACTGTAGCTTAATTAAATGCCAAAATTTATCTACATTAACAACAAAGTGGTGAAATTTATTGATCAATTCACATGATATAAGTTGACAAATGGCCTGAGCAATTTCCATAATTTTCTACACATGTTAAAATTTGTAATGAAAAAAGAATACTATATTAACATTAAATGTAAAATGAAAGGGATATTTTGTAATGGGAGCGAATGCCCTGGGGCAGCGTACTTTGTTTTCCATGCCTTGTCCAGGCCTAGGCTGCTTGAGCTGTGTACAGATGGGTCTCTGACAGACCTACAGCTGTTCTCCTAATTGTCCATTAAGTGTTCTATTGATTCTCTGATTCAAAGTACATGTCTTTCAGCTCAAGCTATCGTGTGAAGTGGCAGGCACATTCCTTGCAGAATGACAGAGCTGCTTGAAACCTAAAAATGTGGGCTGCCAGTTTCAATTGAGGATACTGCTTTCAAAGGAAAAGGCTTGCTTAAAGGAGCTTTGTAATAGCTGGTTAGGTTTTAGTTTCTAAACTTTTAGCATCAATCAATTAAAGCAGCAGCAACATGAAGAGTTTTAATTTCCTCGTTAAGCATGTACAGATTGTACCTGGCTGATAAAGGACTGTGTGTGTATATCGATGCTTGCTAACAAGTGATTGGGCTTGTTTAGCTGTATGCAGATTTTTGTCCAGACCCGCTGACATGCGCAAAGATGTTCTCATTTGACTTGCAAGTTCACTTTTATCATTTATTTTTTAAAGCAAGATCATCTGCAATTCCAGATTATGCCAGTCAGAGCCCTGTTTAAAATCATTTCCCTTTAATCTGAAAAGTGAAAGATAAGAGGCATATCTGTTGCAAGGACCATAAATCTTCAAAGAAACAAATAGCCATAGATAAAACTGTAAAAGTTATTTAGTTCTCCACTGAAAGAGGTTTATTAATCTAAAATTTCCAGTCCATTGTGTCATGATTTGGTTATCACCCTGTATCTCATTTCTTGCAATTGTATGAGCCTTGTATCTCATGCAAAGAGATGATAGCCCCATAGCTTAAACTTTATCAACTGAATTCAGATATAGCTCTATCTCTAGGTATATAAATAAATAAATTGCAACATAAAAACACCCTCCTAAACCCAGAGGTTTGGACTGTACCATTTGCAGATTTTTATCTAGAACTTTTTGGATTACTCATTTTTGTATATATTGATTTTGCAATTAAATATATTTAAATTTTCAGATAATATACATTTCTATAGTATAATTTTTCTATATAGAATGTGCAAACAATGAAGAACTGCATATGAACTCTGTTATAACTTACTACTTAGAAACCATCTGGTAGGTGCGCAAAATGTTAGTTTTTTCAGTAAATTGAAATGATAAAACAGGCCTGTATATTTTTCTAAATATATTTATAATTTAAGTAAGACATGAAACTGTTTCAGATAAAACTTAAAATATTGAGAATTATATCTGTTCAAGAAGATTTTTTATCCTGTATAGTTAAGGAGAAACCACTCTGCTATGAATGTTTAAGATATTCTTATTCTTTAATCATCTCCATTTTAGTTTTTGCACTGTAGCTAGCAAAATTCACAATCAAGATAACATATTACTTTGACCCATTAATCTAGTTATTCAGAGCCTTTTAATTTAAACCAGAATCTTGCTCCTTGAATTAGATTACATAGTTTTTTTTTCTTTACCTTGGCCCAGTTGTCTTTGGGATGTCAAATTTACAAACAACAACAATGTATAGTTCTAAGAAGCAATTGAACTAGCCAAAAATGCAAATGAAATCTCTGCCTATGATTCACAGGCAAAAAAAAAAAAAAAAAAAAAAAAAAGGGGACTTTAAAATTGAAAAAGGAAAATGTGTGAAATTAAAGAAGTCATCTAGGAGGTTGTAGAATATGTTGTAAGGCATAGATTCTTGATTTAGGGATGTAAATTTCCACCTCCATGTGTATGGGGCTGTTACACCAAATTCCCTATCCATCAAGGGGACAATAAACTACTTTGTTGTTTTTACTGTCAAACAGATTGAATAAAAAAAGTCTCTTTAATGTAATCATAAACTATATATTGATACCTGCAAAACATTTTGTGAATCCACTTAGATTCCAGCACTTTCAATTATAGTGTGAGCCAGTTTTTAAAAAGATTTTTAGAAGCTTTCAACTGTAGACTTTTGTCTTGTTGAATGAACTTCAGCTACACTAAATTTTAAGTAAATTTGTGATGACTGAGCAATATACATTGGCTGAGCTAGAATCCAATAACCCACAGGACAAATTAATTTTCAACAAAAAGGGCAGAAACCTCAAGTGCCATGAGTATATGGAATCTCAGTCTATCTCTCTGGAGCCATTTTTGCAAATCACTACAGCTATTCATAATCTAAATCAGTCTCCTTTAGCAGCAGAAAGATCTTTTTTCATGACAAAACAGAAGATGACATTCATTAGTGCCTAACTTGCATAAGCTACCTAAAATTTATTGGTGCTCTTATACTTATCAGGATGAGAATTCCTTTGTCTACAGCTATTGGAAAATTCCGGATGTACTACTTAAAAATATAAATTGTCACTTTTATCAGAACTTTTGGCAGTTTACTTTATTTTAGAAGTAAAACTGGTGGTTAAGGTTTTAAGACTTCCAATGGGCGTTGTTTCAATCATGGTTAATATGCACCCAGGATAGCAATACCAGTGTAAGTGAGTGGCTGTACAAAAATCCACACTTTTTAAAGAACTGCTGCTGCTTAGAGCGAGAGAGGTAAACTCTGCACTGTATGGTGTATAAATACAACTTAGGGCATACAAATGAACCTTAACATTTATGGGAGAATTCATGACTGAAGCCTAGATCCACAGCTGGTGTAGATTAGTGTGGCTCTACTGACATGCAGTGGTATTATCTAGAGAAATGGAGTATCACAGTGCTTTTATTCTGGACTGCTCCCTATGCTGGAGATCTTCCAGCACACTCCTATGCCCGTTCCAACATCTCACATCCTGCAGAAACTATAGAGCTTGGTTGTGTGAATGTATTATTAGGACAGTATTAAAGAGACAAAGTGTAAATAAATGTTTTGTGGAAGCCTGGTGGTTTCTGCCCTTCCAATTTATATTCTTCATTTCTTCCCTGGGTATGGACTCTACATTCATTAGTATTGTTCCGTGCAGTCCCTGCTTTTCTAAACTTTCTAGATTTCTTTATAGTAGGTGTCCGTCCTTTTGAACATTTGTAATGCCTCCAAATATGGTGCCATCTACAAATTTGAGCACTGATGGATTGGGCTACAGCTAGCAGAAAGCATAGCTGCTTAATGAAGGAAAAATATTGCACCTTTGTGACAGAGGTATGAGTGATTTCCAGACCAGTAGATGTCCATGGACCACAATTTCAGAGCAACTTCTCTGTTATAGCTTGAAGTAATGAAACATATATTGTGATCTTTAGGGATGCTTATTTCTGATGTAGAGTCATTCAAGAATTTCTGCTTGCTTTTGGGCTTATCTATGTCCCATTGCCAATGGCAGCTGCCTGTGTGTATATTGGAGTGTGTGCAATGTTGGGCAGTGATGTTTGTTGTCTTTTAAAAGCTGACAATGTGACTGAGGCTTGCAAGACATGAAATGCAATCCACCAATGGATTCAAGGACTAAAACCTCTGTAATGGATAGGGGGAAATTATCGTTAAAGAGTGGTTCATAAAACATGAACAGCAAGGGCAGAGCATGTAGGCTACGTCTACACTGGCATGATTTTCCGGAAATGCTGTTAACGGAAAAGTTTTCCGTTAAAAGCATTTTCAGAAAAGCACGTCTAGATTGGCAGGATGCTTTTCCGCAAAAGCACTTTTTGCGGAAAAGCGTCTGTGGCCAATCTAGACGCAGTTTTCCGCAAAAAAGCCCCGATCTCCATTTTCGCGATTGAGGCTTTTTTGCGGAAAACAGTACTGTGCTGTCTACACTGGCCCTTTTGCGCAAAAGTCTTTCGGAAAAAGACTTTTGCCCGAATGGGAGCAGCATAGTATTTCCAGAAAAGCACTGACGATCTTACATGAGATCGTCAGTGCTTTTCCGGAAATTTAAGCGGCCAGTGTAGACAACTGGCAAGTTTTTCCGCAAAAGCAGATGATTTTGCGGAAAAACTTGCCAGTCTAGACACAGCGTTAGAGTCTAACTGCATTAGGGCAGGGACCATTTTATTATTTTTAATACAATGGGCCCTTGGTCCATGGGTCTTAGGTGCTACCACTGTGCC